GGAAAGCACATTTTAATAAACTCAGAATAATAGCAGGTAATGTCCCATGACGGAAAACCCTAACATGAAATGTTCAACATGGGTGGGAGTTTTCCAAAAAGGAAATTCTAAAGGCATAACTACAAGCAATTTCAAGAAGAAAAATGGTGGAAGACAGCAGAAAAGACCAATGTAGCATCATAAAAACATCAGAGAGGGGCCTGCTTTCCTTCCTACACTTTTATGAAGATTATTATTGGGCCACATTAGAGCTGCTTGTTCTGTCCCTCTTACTGTACATAAGCTTTTTTCTCACCTTTGAGTTTGTGTCTCCCTCCTCCTTCCAAAACTTATTCACCCTGAAGTGAAGACAACTCATGCAATTCTGTTAATCTATTTTATTAACAATAAATGTACAATGAAAAGCATAACACACCTGTGACAACAGCCAGATAATATACATAAATTTAAATAAATAAAATACATAAAATATTGCGAATAATTTATTACATTTTATGTTAACATTACTTATGTGCTTTTAGTACAGTGATTCCCAATCACAGGTCTCTAGAAATTCTTGGATTAAAACTCCCAGATGCCTTCACCAGTAGCTGTGCTGGTTAGGATTTCTAGAAATTGTAGTCCAAGAACATCTGGGGACCCAAAGTTGGGAACCATTGTTTTAAGTACATACTTTAAATAAATCCCACATCACTGTGGTGTGTGCATGTGCATTAAAGTAAATACTAACATCCTGATCCAAAACAAAAAGATAAATTATCTCAGTGGAACCTCCCTATCCACCCACCAGTATTGTACAGTAATTAGACCAGGGATTTGGAAACTTGGCAGGCTAGTCCTAATGATGTCTACTAAGAAGTAAATTATATTAATGTTAAAATTATATGAATGTCTATGTTTGCAGCCATGATCTTTCTAAAAATCACCTATCTGCATGCTTCTGAAATTATACCCCAAATGTATAAATATATGCCCAATCTAATAAATTGAAAAACTTGCAAGACACTCATATTTGCTTTTGGATAGCTGTATGTTCATCATCATTGTAGGCCATTATTTTTATTATATTGCCCTCTACTCTAAATGCAGTTAAGGACTCCTTAAATGCCACCACTCTTTTTATTCTGAACAACAGGATATAATTCTTGAACTATTTTAAGAAACCCGTTATTTTCAAAAAATATGCTACATTAGCAATGGCACTTAAAAACTTATCTTAAACATAAGAGAAATCAGACCATTCAAAGATTAAGATTATTTTATCTACATCATGAATGGAAAATTCAGAATAGAGGCCTAAGCAGATATCCTTGACTGCATCTGATTTCTATCGAAGATTTTGAGGAGGTGGCTGTTTCTCAGGTCCTTTTCAATTAGCTTGAATGAGAATAAGTCAGCTTAAACCCATGTTTTCATGGAGTGAAAAATGTAAGTCATGGACTTTTCATTTGACTGATGTAAACATAATATTGTACTTAAAACATTCTTCCAATAAAGAAAATGCAATTAGTATTCATTGATTATTTTTAGAACATCAAGGTGATTCTCTCCACATTTATCTATAACAGCAAACATTTTTAGTTTCTGACTCACACAAAACTGCACTGAGAGGAAAATGTCTAAGAAATAAATATCCATGATATTACTGTACAAAATCCCATAGGGATGAAACATTTCCAGAATAGGAGTCCTGCAGGTATTTTAGAACTGCAGCTTCCCTGATTCTCCTCTATTGACTAGGCTACTTAAGAGTTGGTGCTAACTGCAGTCCAACAACACCTGGAAGGTATAGTCACATGCCTTTCTTTAGGAAACAACATTACTGACAATCAAGGGGGGATTTTTCACAAAGAAAATTCTACCAGCATGAAGAATGCTCAATATAACATAACATATAACACAGTGATTTCAAATAGGCTGGATTTTTCATGAATTTTACAAGCCTATTATTGGAGAAATTCAACAGTTCTTTTCATCCTACATTTATTTCCAGTGTATAAGAAAATGCCTAGAAAATGACACCAGAAGAATTGACATTGACATCAGGAAGAGATTAACTGTTTATCCAAGGAGGTTTTGGTAAACGGGATTCATAATCATGAAAATTGCATTTTGAAACCATTCTTTGAGGCTCAAACAAAAAGTCCCTTCTCAAAAGGGATTGCCATAGAACTAAAATCCAACCAGAATATAAAGCAAAAAATAGTACATTTCCATGCTCATTTTAAAAATTTGGATATTTGTATGGCTGCATACTAACAAAAACTTTAAAAGGCAGAATAAAAAAAAAACTGAAGTTCATGCAGTCTAATAGGGGAGTAGGTTCTGGTGGACCATGCTTAAGAGGACACTGGATGTAGTTCAAAGACTCTCCTGCGTTGGCTGGCTGGTCTATCTTATATCTCTCCACTGGAATAGAAGACAAGTGGATGATCAGGACTGGTGTTGTGTAACAGTCATCAATATACCTTTTCTTTAGTGTTGGAGTTTTGGCAACCTCATATGTCAAGAAGGGATATTTCTGGACTGGAGTGACTCAATTACTCCAGCAGTAACCTGGAGTAAGCTCTTCCCTGCCTCTAACTTCAAAGAGAGGTATGATTCTTTGCGTAAGTGTCTTTTTTTATTTCTTTTAATCTGCTTGCAGTTAGCATACTGTGCAGTGAAAGAATGAAGTTTAGAGGAGTCTGCTGGAAGCAGGCTGTGAGTCTGCTGAGACAATATCTTAGAGTTATTGAAACTGTAAGTACCAGTTGATGAGATAAAAAGCAGTGGTCTACTCTGGGGAGACTTGAAACTAATTCTGCTCCTTACGTCCCCCTGTGCAGCTAAAGGTTTTTGAACCCCAAATTCAAAACTCTGCAACATTTAGTGGTAGAATAATAGGTGTCTTTCAGAGGCAGCAGGTTCTGTTGTTGAGGATGCTGTGCAATCACATGGTTGCTGGGTACTTTTACAGAGATGACCAACTTCACTTGTCAAACGTAACTGTTGTGCTCAGCCTGTTCTTACTGGCAAAACATAACCACTTCTGGTAACTGGGTCACTCTTTCCCCTCTTTCCCCTGCTATTCCAGGTATTAGTGAAGAAAGCTTGAAGACCTATGGGGGGAAAAAACACAATATTTGCGATTAGAAAATAGGCATACAGAAGGAAATTTGCAAACTCCTTTCAAGAACTTCTGAGTGTTGCATAATTTTTACCTTTTCAGCCAGCATCTTGTAGCAATGGCATAAATCACAGCAATCAATCGCTAATAATTAACAGCTCATACACAGTAAGGAATAAAAGCAGCAAGTTGTTAACTAGTGGCATTCACTGGGGCAGTTTACATCATTACAGAAATAGCTAATAAGATTCAGGCAACAGTTTTCCACAGCTATTTTTTGACCTGCACATGGGTCTGCATAGCTAGTCTTCCTCACTATGTAGATTTGCCACATTTTCAGATTGTGTTTAGGAAAAACAGCAAGCCACAGGGATCATGTAAATACAAAAATCCTGTACATCAGAAGAATAAATGCTAGTATGTATATGCATACATTTATATGTTAAGTCATAGGGTCACGAAGAGTTGGACACAACTTAACAACTAAAGAACAACATATGCCACAGAACCCTTTTTCTAAAGACCACGGTGTACAGAAAGGAAAGAGGGGCCTTGATGCTTGGGATCCTGCAAAAGCTGTCCTTTTAAGTTGGCTGATTTCAGAACTCTCTGACTATAAATGAGCCAATGGCTTAACATATAAATGTATGCAGATGTCTTATGCTGAGTTGGGCTTTTGACCTATCTTTGGCCAGAAGAACCTTGTGGCACAGTGGTTAAACCGCTGTACTGCAGCCAAAACTTCACTCATGACCTGGGGTTCAATCCCAGGTAGCCAGCTCAAGGTTGACTCAGCCTTCTATCCTTCCAAGGTCGGTAAAATGAGTACCCAGCTTGCTGGGGGGGAAATGTGTAGCCTGCATAATTAACTTGTAAATTGCCCAGAGAGTGCTTGAAGCACTATGGGGCAGTATATAAGCAGCAGATTTTGCTTTTTTTAAAATTCACTTTGGCTACCAGTGGTATCCATGTTCATAGTTAGGATCTTTCTCAGTCTTATGACCAGCCATTCCTCAAATGGAATCACTTGACACCTTGCACAATTACAGCATATATTCCATGACTGTACCACTGCTTTCAACAATGATCCAGCATTACACATATTTTCAAAAACAGAGAGATTGTGATTTTCCTATAACTTACTTGTTTAAATCAGGTGAGGATAATTTTGATTAAAGAGGCTGTGGTAACTGCTGTAAAACACAAGCAAAATAAACATTTTAAGTCATGGAACTATAAAACAATACTGTGAAAGGGAAAATGTTTTAAATTTTCCATATGAATTTTTGCAATGCAACGTACCTGGCAGGTGTAAATTTCTTTGCTAAAAAGAAGAAGAAGAAATAATTAGTACTTAGAGAGGAGCATAGGAGTCCCACTGAATTCTCTTCCCTTTGAACACATTTCTAAGTAATGCCTAGGAATGGCTTTCACATAATCTTCCCTGCATAATATTTCCTTAGCTGCTATTAATATGAAAGCATCTGATCTGTCCTCTTATAGTCAATAAAGCATCATGTGTGTTGATGATACAACACATATTTAAAACAAAAGTAAACATTGCACTGATAAATGTCACCAGTCTTATAGGCCTGGGAAGCATAAGAATGTGATCACATTGGGGAGAGTGTCAGAATGTAGAACATTCTCACAATCCATTAAATATCCAGATTTTTAAAAATGTAAATAACATCACTAGGCCTAGGGATGCTCATCATTATTGAGATTGCAGAATGCATGAAGAAATAATGTTATCCTTTTATCTTCTACTGGTCTAGCCGCCTAGAGTGGTCTTAACCGACCAGATAGGTGGGATATAAATAAAATAAATAAATAAAAAATAATACTCAAGGCTTGGCTCTAATTGAGGAAAATCTCTTCTATAAAGCTACCATTTGCACTTGGGATGAAGGCAGGAAACTCCCATACGTGCTACTGACAGATTTCTTCCGAATCTAAATGCTGTAACAACTTCAGGGGAAGAACCTTCCATGGGACCACATCAAAATAAGAATGGATCAAATCCCCCTTCACATTTGCAATCCCAGTAATGATCAGCCTTCTTCTTCCCTATTATGAATAGCTTGGCTATTTTTATATGTTATTTGTACTTCTGAGTCAAATTTAGAGTTAGTTTATTGCTGAATTGGCAACCAGCCTTTTCAACATAATTTTGAGTCAATCTGTTTTGATCTCTATTCCTAAAAAATTAGACATAGTTATTCATTACTTCAGCAATCTAGCAGACATAAAAAAAATAATTTCCATTTCTTCTGACCCCCCTCAAATGATCAGGGGAAGTGTTCAGTTTCTGATATCCTGAAGCAGCTCATAAATCACTTCAGAATACCACAAACTGACACATGAAGGAGCTGCAAGGCTCTAATTTAGTCTAGTTTAGAGATTACACTCACTGAGAATGGACTAAACTGGATTCCTGCAACCTGTACCAAAACAGTAAAAGCTGCTGACAGGGGTTCAAAAAAGGTGTGGGTTGGAACAAATTGGTGCACTCCAGTGACATTCACATGTGGACACTGGAAAAAAAGAGCAGACTAACCAGTGCACCAAACAGCAGGTCAAATGCCATGTGGATTTCCTCCAACTCTGCTTAATGGTAGGGCTGTCCCTTCAACCACAGATGTGGAAAACATCTCACCTTTTCTTCGAAGATGCTTTGTTAGCCAAATAAGGAATGATCCTACTGATAGAAAAGTGGTCGCAGTGGCTGCTGTTCCAATTGTCAAATACTGCACAAAAGCCTGAGGACCTGAAGTTCAAAAAATGACAGAATTATATCAGTAAGAATGCAGCCTTTCCAGAACCCATTTCTCCTTGCCATGCCCCCATTTTTCTAGTCAAAAAACAGAAATGTTGGCAGGCCTCAGATCAGTACATCCAATGCTCCAGTTTAAGTGCAGGTTATTGGTCTCTTTATTTCCTACTATTCATTTAAATGTTTCCCCTAACCAAGCATATAAAGAAAATAACATTGGAAGAGGCACACTGTGAGGGGGTGGGCATGGACCCCAGGTCAGCATGGTCCCCAGCGCACAGGTAGCAGGCAACTGGGAGGAGGCTGAGTTGCCTGAGCATCAACCTGGCTGGAGGGAGTCCCTGCAACTACAGGAGAGGCAGTGTCCTGAGGAGAGACAGCTGGAGGAGGCAGGGTTGAGGGGGATAAAAGAGCTGAACTGGGAAGGCAAGGAGGCTCTGCCCATCTTGGAAGAAGAGGAAACATGGAAGGATGCCAGAAACCGTCTGCGCTCACCAGGTTTATGGAATTGTGACAGGAACCAGGCACTGGAGACTCCAGCCATGTGCCTGGACAAGGTTACATTGTCCTGGATGCTGCCACAGCTCTAGAGAGGCCAGTGAGGGAAGGGACCAGGAGAGACAACAAGCTGCAGAGACCGAGTTCTTGTCCTCATGGATACAAGGCTTCTCTAAACAGGGTGTATTCTTGCTGTAAGCCTCTCTCCTCTGTCTTGCTTTCCAGAACCTGCACTCTGGGAGAATTCCAGTGAAACTAATGGCCCACCCATCCCCAACTGACACGTAATTTAGAAACTGTAATTCAACACTATGGGGGGGGGTTGAAATGTAGAGGGAAGTGCTGCTGTAAATCTAATAAAAACAGATATGAGTCAAGAAGCTGAGCTGGAGTCCATGGAGCCATTAACAGGGAGCCCTGCTGGCAAGGAGGTTGGCGGGGCATTCACACATACACAAGATCTGTGTTGATGAGACAGTGAAAATGCTGGTTTCAGCCCACCTTCCCTATTCTCGATACAACACAGTGGCCTATTCCACACCGCCAGTGCTACAATAGGGAGATCAGTGAGAGGAATGAATGTGGATACCTTCACAGGTGGGAAGGCCTGCTGTCCAGGTTCCTGAAGCTAGACATTGAAGTAAGTGGGACCCATTCAGTTTCCATCCTTCTGCACAGCTGACTTCACAGACTGTTTTATAGCCAAAATGTCTATCTGGATACGAACAATTCAAGAAGCCGTTCTTGGGAGGATGCAGTATCTCACATAGTGTTGCTGAAATAGAGATATTAACCCAAGTGCATTAAACTGTATGTCCCCTGCTAAAGCTGATGTTAAGCAATGAATGATGTTTCAGCTTCAAACTGACTGCATTTTAGGGTGGGGATACTGGTCCCTCAGTTATTCTTCTGCGAAATATGTAGGAGCTCAAATGTTTCCAAAAGAGGGCCCAGGCTTAAGGCTAATCATTCATTCTCTTCCCCCGTCAATCCCTCTCTCACACACAAAGCAAAGGTGTTAAGAAATAAAGATATACCTGATGTACAAAACAAAGGATGTTTCAATCTTTATATAAAAGACTGAATAATAATGGGCTGGAATAACAAACAATAAAAACAAATTAAAGACATTTCATGCAAAAGGAGATATTCATGCAGCCTCTCTAGGCCCAATTCTGTCTTTTCACAAACCTATCAAATCCCAGCCCTCTCGCTCTCTTCTTATCCTTCCTACCTATCTTATTCTGTTACACTGTAATCCTCATAGCTCTCATCTAAAACAGTACATATCCTTATCTTTATTGTGTGTCTATCTATTCATTTCACCCTATCTGTCTAACATAATGATCTCACGTCTATTTCATGTCCAATAAAAACTGATACGAATGAAGAAGCTAAGCGGGAGCCCATCGAGTCATTAACAGGGAACCCTGGCTCGGCTGGTGAGGGGGCTGGTGGGGCATACACAAACACTCTGCAGTGATAGGTAGTGATATGTCCCCAGTCCTAATGAACACTCTCCGTCACTTATCCAGCACTTGCCAGTCAGTCAACCCTTTCTTTCCATCATGCAAACAGCTAACTTGAGTGTTAGTGTATGCATGTTGTGTATAAAATCCACAAATAAGAGCACACAGGAGGGGACTGAAATCATCACTGTGGCATTATAGTAGTGGAGCCCCACAAATAAGAAGACATCTCCTTGATCACCACCTCCCAGCTCAAAAGGGAGAGGTACCCTGAGACCGACCTCAAGTGAAGTTCCTAGGACGTGGAGGAAGGAGATCCAACAAGCACCTGGGGCCTAAGCTATATAGGGTTCCAAAGGGAAGCATGGGTTCTGTGAATTGCACTCAGAAAGGGATTAGAAGTCCCTGAATATTTCAGAATAGGTGGATTTCTACAGCATGTAGTAAACTGCATGTGTACATTCTGTGCTGTCAAGTTGAAACTGACATAGAAACCCTAAGAGGGCTCTCAAGGTAGGTGAGATATTTAAGGAGTGGTTTTACTAGTTCCACTCCCCCAGTCATTCAATTGCCAAGTGGAGATTCAAACCCTGTTTTCCAGAGTCCGTCACTCTATCCACTATACCACACTGTGAATCACGTAGTAAATTATTTTACATGTAACAACACACATGTGGCCAAATATGTTTTTAGAAGCATGCTCTTTCAATTAGTAAAATATACCTTTTTGTCATAACTAGACATGGGAATAAATTGAAAATGAATTGTGATATTCGTGAGAAATAATGGATTCATGGAACATTTGTCTCTTTGTATTCATCAATTCCAGAGGCCCTGACAAATATGAAGGGACAAATATTTAGCCATTTTAATTGTCCCCCATAGCCAGAGAAGGGAGACTGCCTTCCTTTTCTGCCTATGGCTTTTGCTTATGGGCCCACTAAGCAGCTGATCAGTGGTCCCTTGGGAAGAGATGGAAGCACTAGGCTAGCCTAGCTCCTTACCCCCACAACTGAGCCCCCCTCCCCACAGCCTGTCCTCAACCCCTTCCCACTTCCCCTGTTGCCACCTTACCTTGGCTGTCTGCATCACTGCTGCCATCTTTGCAAAGATGGTGGCAGCAAAGGTGGCCAAGGCAAGGAGGTGATGGGGGCAGTGGGAAGGGGGTGAAGGGCTCAGCTGTGGAGGTGGGGGACTAGGCTAGCTTAGCGCTTCCCTCTCTGTCTATGGGCCTGCTGATCAGCTGGCCCATTGGCAAAGAAGGAAGGCCATTGCCAGAAAGGGAAAGTACAGCCCTAAAGAGAGCCACAGCCTTTGCAAAGGGCGGCCTGGTTTCCCTTAAAGCCAGCTCCAATGCCATAAGGCAAGCTGCTGCCACCATCTTGGCAAAGGGCAGCCCAGTTTCCCTTAGGGCATAGGAGCCAGCCCTAAGGGAAACCACAGCTGCCATCTTTGCAAAGATGGCAGCAGTGGGAGCAATGGAGGCTACGGTGGCGCAGGCGTCAGCAGTCGTGGCAAGGAGGCAATGGAGGCAGTGGGAAGGTGGGGCAGTCTGCGGAGGCTTAGGGCTCTGTGCTCAGCTTTTTTTTTTCTGGATAGCCACAGGCTGCCTAAAAAAACCCAAACAACCCAATTTGTGGTTCATTGGTCAGTCTGCGGAGGCTTAGGGCTCTGTGCTCAGCTCTTTTTTTTTCTGGACAGCCACAGGCTGCCTAAAACAAACCAAACACACAAGCTGCCTAAAAAACCCCAAACAACCCAATTTGTGGTTCATTGGTTCACACGGGGAATTCATGGTTCACGAACGAAAAAGGAATTGCCATTTTGGCGGTTCATCTCCATCACTAGTCATAACACATTGTTTTCTGTATCTATGTATTTTGCATTTGGCATATTTTGTTTTGCACTTGTTTAGAGATATGTGCCTCTAATTGTTGAGACATGCATGTCTGATAAAATTTCATTGTAACAGCAAACGTGGGTTAGCTGTAGGCAGTTTGCAAACCTCCCAAAGTCCAGTTTGCTCCTTACAAACCCTCCAGAAAGTTTTATCACCCCTCTTCGTGCTTGTGTGAACTAAACAGTTAGAATACAAATTACTGAAAAGCAGATGAAATTTTACCTTCACAGACAGGAGTTGGTTCTGACCACTGGCCTGTTGATAAGCACTGAATCTTGGATGATCCTCTTAAAGTGTAGCCTTCCATACAAGTAAACTCACAGACAGAATTATAGGTTGCATCTGCATGAAGGTAGGAGCAGTTCACAAACCCCCTTTCAGGATGAGCTACTGCTTCACATTTCATTGCTGGAATAGAGATGGTATAATTAGTTTGATTGTGACAGGCAAAACTGTAAATAAGAAAAATGAATGTGGTATGGCAAGGCAGAGATAATGGCAAGCAAGCGCCAGGACTCATTCTGCCTCCCATGCATCTAATTTCAATAGGAGGTTTCAGTCTTACCTTCACAAATAGGAAACGGTTCTGACCATTTGCCGTTTGATAAGCATTGAATTTGAGACGATCCTGTTAAGGAGTAGCCCTCCATACAAGTAAATTCACAGACAGCATTATATATGGGATCCATATCAAGGTAGGAGCAATTCACAAAGCCATTTTCAGGGCGATACACTGCTTCACATTTCACTGCTGAAAGAGGAACCACCAATACCTATGGTTACTTTCTAGGTCACTGAGAAAATAACATAAATTCATTTGCTGTTTAAAAAACACCCTGCCAATTTAAAACTAGGCCATCTGTCTTATATTGGCTTAAAGCTGGGAAACTGGAAGCAAATCTACTGACATAAAAGGTATACCCTGTGATTGGTAATGATTAGAGATGGGCACATATCAGAAAAATGGTGATTGACATAAAAGGTATTCATCAAGTTTGACAAATCACAAATTATGAATTTATGATTTTTTTCTGCTAAATTGATGAATTGAGTTGTCAATTCATTTTTGAATTTAACCACCTATAAAAAGCACACACTCAGCACCTAGAGATACCAAATTTACAAGGAAGCTTCCTCTGACTACTCTACAATCTCTCCAAGTTTGATGAAGTTTGAGTCCCAGACATTCCAGTTTTACACTCACAAAGTGGGTCCCTCCCTTTAGCCGCTGGCTTAGGGAAACCCAATCTTCCCCAAACCTGGAGGGATTATAGAGGGAAGTCAGTAAAAGCTTCTCCATGATTTTGGTGTTGGCCTAACTGCCCAAAAGGCACACATGAAGGCTGCTAGATTCTCTCTGCAACAGAATCCCTATGAAAATGTGAAATTAATGGCAGCATTCGAGCTTCAAAATGAAAATGAGCATGCATCAGGTAACTTAGCCAGCAGTTATTGCCATGTGCTTTAATAAAGCAGGAACCCTAACTTTAGGGAATTAATGAAATATTGTTAATACCAGACAACCTAAGCAGCATTCATTCTATCATTATTCAGTGAAGCTGAATAAACTCTGCAAGTGTTTTGTATTTGAATTTGGCAGGAAGTTTATGGAATTCCTAAGCAGAAATCAAAGTACAAAGAGCAAAAACGTCAATTTCCAGCAATTCATATCACCTAGGCCCTCAAATGTGGCACAGTTGTATCGCTCTTCAATTATTTTATGGCTGCTACATTTCAGTTCAGTTTGAGAAGTGTTATTTTTAATGAGCAATTAAGTTGAGAACATTATAATAGCTTCCTTCCTTCCTTCTTTGAACAATTTATCCTTAACTAAAGGGGTACTACTGAGTTACTTCAGTTAAAAAAAACCACCTCATATGTACAGTCATGCCTCGCTTAGCGATGTTAATTCGTTCGGAAAAAATCGCTGCTAAGCGATAACATCGCTAAGCGAAATAAAAAAGCCCATAGAAACGCATTAAAACGTGATTAATGTGTTCCTATGGGCTTAAAACTCACTGCTGAGCGAAGATCCTCCATAGCGCCACCATTTTCGGTGCCTCTAAAGCGAGGAATCCATGCCTGAAAACAGCAGGCGGCCATTTTGAAACCGCCAATCAGCTGTGCGAAAATGGGGGCTTTGCGATGATTGGTTCCATGTGATCATCGCAAAGCGAAATTCACCCATAGGGACCATCACAAAGCGATCGCTTTTGCGATCACAAAAACTCTGTCGCAAAGCGATTTCGTCGCTATACAGAACAATCGCTGTGCAAGGCACCACTGTACTCAAAGCCATTTGACAAAATGAAAGAATACCTTCACATTCTGGCTGATGTCCATTCCACCCTCCAGAAGCATCACACTGAAGTTCAGCAAACCCTTTCAGGACAAAGCCCTCTTTACAAGCAAACTTGCAGGAAGAATTCCAGGCAAAATTTCCAGCAGGGTGAGAACACTCCAAGTTCCCATGAGTTGGAGGCTTCAGTTCACTACACTTCACAACTGTAAATTATATATGAACATACATCAATTAAGTCTCTGAGTAGACACATTTCGGTGCTTTATATGGCAAAATTACACATCAGTTTTAAAATGTAAAAAAGATAGCTACCAGTGAAAGGAACTTTTCAAAGGGTTAGGGCCTAGATAATAAGCAGCAATATTTCCACATTGTGCAATTCAATGAAAAATAAATTCTTATTTTTATAAACCACTAGTAAAATGCATGTTGAACAAGGGGAAGGGAGTTTGTGTGTTAACAGAGTAGTGCATCTAATTTCAGGGAGACGGAAAGAAAAGGAGCACATAATATGTTGATGAGATAAAACTGTAAAGAAGCAAAACGATTCTCGTAGTACAAGCAAAACTAATGTCTAGCAAATGGTCAGATTAATTCTAGATTCTGCCCATCTCATGCCCCATGAAAGGTTTAAATCTTACTTTCACATATAGGAATTGGGCCTGACCAGTTTCCTTTTGATGAGCACTGAATTTGTTGTGATCCTCTCAAGGTATAGCCTTCCATACATCCAAAATCACAGGTTGATCTGTAAGTCAGTTCTGTGTCTGCATGGGAACAATTCACAAAGCCTCTTTCTGGCTGAGGTACCATCTCACATTTTGCCACTGAAAGAGATACAAACAATTCCTCCAGTTAATTCAGAGGGCCTGTCCAGACTGGCATATAGATTGATAAATGGATCACTGTCGTTACAGTTTGGTTTGAACCAAATGATGGCATACACACAGGTTTCTGCTTAGATTGATCCATCCTGCCCCTCTAAGAGCTGTCATGCACCTTTCTGGCACAGTGGTAGGTCACATATTCTTTTTGGTAAAATTCAGCACAATCATAATTATCTCACTGTGTAGCCTGTGCAGCGTTATCTAAGGTGACAACCCTGAAACATAATGGGTGGGTTGTGGCATTTAAAAGGAGGATTGAGATACCCTCTCTTCTGTTTTCACCTCCTTTAAAACAAAACCTCCCTAACTGATGCAAAATAATTTTAATACTATGCTAGGCTGATACATTTCTCTTTCAATAGGCCACTTACTTATGTAACAACAACAACAAAAAGGAAAGCCATTGTGGCTGACTGGATGACAGCTGTAAGAAAAGGCAGGGAAAGGAGTTATGTCAGCTTCATGGGCTTTGCTACAAGGCAGCACAGCCCTGGCTGAGGGGAAAGATGGGGGAAAGCGGGTTTACTCCCTTCTGTATCCCCAACCTTCACCCCAACATTTTCCCGTTTCAACACTGCCACTGTGAGCTTGCCCTGCTGCTGCCACCCTCTGTTGCTATCTCCTTACTCATGATTAAACTGAGTAAATTTACTCATGAGTAAACTGGGTAAACTTTACTCACAAATAAAACAATGATTCAAAGATTTGTGTGGACTCACAAGAGGATAGGCATCACCAGTATATACAGAAGGATTGCTCAAGTGAGAAATAAAATACATTGCACTGAAAATAACCTTTTAAGTCTGAACCAGATTGCTCCAAATTCCCCTGTGTGGACAGACTCTCGGACACATTACAGATTCAAACAATGAGCTTTGTATGAGCCAGCAAGTCAATGACACAAAACCATTACCTTCACATTTCGGCTCCTGCTCATCCCACTCTCCAGATGCACCACACTGGAGCCTACTGGAACCCTTCAAAAGGAAACCCTCATTGCAAGAAAAGTTGCAAGATGAATTCCAGGCAAAATTCCCAGAAGGGTGGGAGCAGGAGATGGATCCGTTAGTAATATTTTGCAGTATCCGACATTCCTCAACTAGAAACACAATGAAAGTGTATTAGATTTGTTTCATTACTTTAGTGAACAAGATGCGCAAGAGCTGGGCATGTGTACTTTTCATCTAACTGAGAGGAAGTGACAATGATAAAAGATAGCGTGATAGGCCAGTTATCCGGGTAGACCCAGTTAATGTTAACCTAACATTATAATCTTTCCAGCCTGGTAACTCTTAGCTTGCAAGTTGGCTCGTCAACAAAATGCAGTAGTGTGGAGCACTCCCGTTTCAGTCTCAGTCAGTCAAACATCCCTTTCCTTTGAACTCTTTGTTCTATCACACACAGAGCTTTTTGGGGTGGGTTCCCTGCGCCTCAACTGGCAGCAGTCAGTGACCACTAAACATGCTAACTCCTCATTGGAATTGTTTGTGGAAATGAGGTGTTCATTTTTAATTTTTTCCCCCTGATCTGTTTTTTAAAACTTCTGCAAATATTGATGTGTATAGTTGATGGGGTTTTAGCTACAAAGAAATTCACATGAGGTGAACGTTTGCTATTCATGAGGGGAAGATTTCATTTACATCTTAATTTAAGCCATACAGTATCATCATGGCTTGAAGAGGAGGCATGAAAGAATCTTCTCACCTGGCTAAACAGTTTTTGACACTACATAATTCGTAAAGCATAATTCGCCTCATGTACTTTGAATCTCTTCTAGCTTCAAAACAGTGGTACCAGAGGATCTGTGTTAGCCTTCACTGAGTTAAGACCTGCCTCATTCACCTACCTTTACACGCCGGAGTGGGTGCAGACCAATTTCCAGCATGGGTGCATGATACTGATTCCAGCCCAGTTAACTTGTAACCTTTCTTGCACTGAGCTCGGCAAGAGGAGTTATAGCTGAAGTCTTTCACTGGATGGCTGCACTCTAAGGTACCATGTTCAGGTTCTTTCGGTCTATTACAAGTAACTACTACAGAGGAACATAAACAAAAAATGTTAGGTAAGTCATCTGTTTCAAGACACATTCACTGCAAAATTAAAACCACTCATATCAAGAAATTTGAATTGGTAATTCACATGTTCAAAAGAAGTAGGACACAAATCATACCATGTTCGCAGTCATGCCCATAGAATCCTCTATCACAGTGGCAGGTGTAATTATTTATAGTCTCTATACATTCACCATGGCCGCTGCAGGAATTGGGTTTACAGGAAACTGGAAGACAATTCAACAGATTATATGTAATTTCACAATATATTATTTGACATACTATAATCTGAGTGAATTATTGCAACAAACTAGTAAAGTAGGATGCTGCCTCAAAGAATGTAACAAACTGAAGCACATTGGACACACAACCTTATACAATAAATGTTGCAGCTTGAGTATAATGTTGAGGCTACACTTCTGCCCCCTCCCTACTTCAGCCTCTGCATTTGGAGGTGGTGTTTTCCCCTCTTTCTTTCTATGATTACAGAGATCCAAGGGAAAGCATATACCATACCACAATGCAATGGGATCAAATTTCTGAATTACATGTGACTTTTAATTTTACCATACTCAATTTAGCCCTATGCCATTCCTTATCATTATGGCATTACATGGTACCTATAAACATTAATATAGCTACTGTGTATTAATTTGTTTGGATTTAGACACCAACAACAGCTTTGTCTAGAGTGGAAATAATACTAATAATCTGTCACAGTATTCAAAAGGGCCTGTAGGCTCTAAAGTTTACAATCCTGAAAGCAATTCACATTAATTATTTCAGCAGTTATTACATTTCCTTAAAATATGGCATTATGAGGATGATGAGGATGGAGGGGGACTCCAGTTGTCCAGAATGTGACTATGATTGTTTAGGAACTTTGTCTCATTGTTTTTCAGAGACAAAGTGAACAAGTGAGTAGATGTACAGTATACATATAGGTGTCAATGGTCTGGTGTCTAGGAGCATCTTTACACAGAATTAAATAGCTTTTACTAAATTCTAGGCATAACTGTAAACTTTGCTTTTAAAAATCACATTTCTAGATGTTTCGGTTGCATATATAGCACCCTACCTGAATAGCACAAAGCTGTTTTTCTTTTATTGCACGGTTCATCATTCCACTTTCCTGCATCATGATCTCGTCTTATATAGATTTCTACACAGTCTTCATTGGTTTTTTGGTTGTTCGGTTCACCTTTAGCCCAATTTTCAGTTTCTTCATTCAGTGCTTTATTTGTTCCAACCCATCTCCATTCATTGCCAAATTTCCTAATCCCAATCCAGTAATATTCTGCTTTGTAAGGAAATGCAGCATTCAAATATACAATTTCCTCTTTATTCTGAATGGCAACCAGATGAGTGTAGTGTGCTTTACACCATTTCTCTGCTTCTGAGTAAGGCATAGTTATGTCTGAAGAGTGGTATGTCCAGCAGGTGCTGCCATTAAATAGCAGGAATCCTACAAAGAAAAAAAGTCAAGACATTGTTGTATGTATTGGGGCTGGGAATAGACATGGACATGAATCCGGATCATCGGATCATGCTGGATCATTGTACTAGCACCACAGGTGCTGTGCAGTCCCATCCCCCACTCCCCCAGCTGGCTCCCCCCCCTCTGGTGCTTTCTCTGTTCCTCCTCCTCCTCTTCAGTTGTCTTCCTTGCCTCCTCCAGCAGCTGCTCACTCAAAAGTAGCATTGCAGCAATCCATACACTGCCTCCTTGTCTGAATGGGCAGTTGCTGGAAGAGGTGAAAAAGGGAAGTCCATGCTCCTGTCATGACTGGTGAAACAACTGTAGAGGAGGAGAAGCAGAGAGAGCACCAGCTGGTCAGTGGAAGAATCCAGCCCAGGGAGTAGACAGCACCTGCAGTCCCAGCATGGCAATCCAGCACAATCTGATGATCCAGATTCATGCCCATCTCTAACTGGAAACTCTCAGAAACAACATCTGTACTGGTGGAAGAAGGCAAGAAAGTTAGAGAATCAAGTTAAGAGACAAGGAAGCAGCAGTACAGCCATTGACAGCCACGTCTTCCAGTGGCTGATTCAAGACAAGTCATGAACCAATGTAGCTTCTTCAGCCGTTGACAGCCACGTCTTCCAGTGGTTGATTCAAGACAAGCACAAAGTCATGAACCAATGTAGCTTCTTCAGCCAGGAATTGGAGCTGAAGTTTCTTTCTGAAAAATAACCCACTTGTAAACAAGGATTTACTAATAATGAAACGAAAGGGCTGTGTAACAAGATAGAAGGCTAGATAGCTCAGTGAGTTATGCATCTGGCTGAGGAGCCAGAGGTTGGGGGTTTGATCCCTCACTGTGCGATCAGCCGCCTGCTTCTTTCTCCTGACTGTTTCCACCTGTGGGAGAAGGAATACAAGCAGGTCTGCAACAGGGGCAGGACTGTCACCGGCTGATGTGCCACTGAAGGGAGTAACACCAAAGGGAGGGTTGTCCCTTTGATGGAAACCATATGACAGTGCCACAACGATGAGAGCCAGACCCCCTGTTAAAACAGGCTTATTTTTCTTTCCCCTTTCTGATGGTGGTAGGAATGTGTGACCAAAAGAAGAAAGATAATAGGAATCCACAGGGAACAGCCATCGGGACTATTGAAAATAGAGGGAGATAGAGAAAGGAAAGACAGATACATAAGCATGGTAAGGGCGGAAAATAGGATGTTGGTGGTCCTCTAACCATCCTCAACCTCAAATAGCCTGGAAAGCCTTGATGGCAATTGCCCTGGATCCAGGTTTTCTGTATTAGGCAAGATGAGGATGATCTGAGTGTGGAGGGTTTCTCTAGAACCCTGTTTACATGGACAGCCTTACTTGGTGGTGTTCAGATTCACTGAAATACGTAGTCCACACCCAGGTGGGGATCCTATTAAGATGACGCTCCGAGGATGCTGATGGGAGCCAAATGGTTTCCTGACAGCTCTGGGAATGTCCTGTCCCCTTAGCGTCAGACCTCAGTTATGAGATGGAGACTGCTCTGGCCACCTTGGTGCGTGACCTATGCTGGGAACTCGACAGTGGGAGTGTGTTTCAGTTGGTTCTCCTGGATCTCTCAGTGACTTTCAACATCTTGGTATCCTGTCTCTATGGGATGCGACTTGGAAGCACTGTTTTACAGTGGCTCTGGTCCTTCTTGGAAGAGAGGATGCAGAAGGTGGTGCTGCGGGACTGTTTGACACCCTATCTGCTGCCATGTGGGGTCTCTCGTGGTTCTATTTTGTCTCTTATGCTATTTAACATGTACATGAAACGGCCGGGAGGGTTTGTCAGGATGTGGGATTTGTTGTCAACAGTATGTGGATGACACCCAACCCTTTCCTTTCCATCTAAATTCAAAGAAGCTGTTTCAGCTCTAGATCATTGTCTTGTGTCAGTAATGGACTGGACGAGGGTGAATAAACTGACTGTGACTCTCTCTATATATTTTTAAATTGTTGTATACGGCCTTGTGTTTCCTTTTTGGAAGAAAAGCAGGATATAAACAAAGTAAAAGCATGAAGGTCATTACTCTATAAATATGGGTGATAAAATAACTGCATACTTCTTAAGCATTGGGCAACCTAGAGGCCTAAGGTTGTCTTCTGAGGTCACACCAGAAGATACACACAGACACACAGAGTTAATTTGCCCTCTGTTTTAAATGAAACTAAGATTTCTATCAGTTTGCTTTTTTAAAACACGTGAATACTTTAAAACAGATTCCACAGAATAAAATTGCTATTTCCAATAACTCAGCTATCTCACGTACACAGAGAAACCAAATGCACCTTCTGTCTACATTTACAAGATTTCTCACTTTAAGACACTTACCAGAAGTGAGGATGGTAAGGAACCAAATGGCATTAAGCATGGCAGTAACTTTGTAAATACTGGCTTAATTAGGCTGTTTTTGGAATTCAGCTGGATAAAAACAAGAAATTAAAGTACATCATTTAAAACAGGTATAGTAAGTAGCATAAAAAAGAAAGAACTTTGTAACACCTTATACATTAATAAATTTTACTTGGCTTTTGTGAACTGCAGCCCTTCAAATACAAGTTAAGTAGTGAATTTTTAATACAGTATAGAGATAGGTATACATTTTTATCATATTATAATTCTATCCCTCTTTCAAGAATTAAAAGCAGCAAACTTTAAAATAAAAAAAAACTGATAATAAGCATCGGTGTAAAGTTCAAAACCAAACTATCAATGAAACCCCAAGCTAATTCTAACATTGAAAGCCACCGCCCCCATCCCTTTTAATGAAAAATAATAATTGCGTGTCATAAAGTCAATTCTGACTTATGTAGAGTTTCCTAGACAGACAGTAATCAGAAGTGGTTGACCATCCCCTTCTTCTGGGGACACCCTGGGACTGTGCAACTTGCCCAAGGCCATACAAGCCGGCCATACTTGCAGGGGAATTGAACTCTCAACCTCTTGCTCCACAGCCAGATACCTAAACCATTGTGCTATCCAGCCACTCTCACGGTTTTTAACCACTTCTCTAAATGTTTCTACCAGCACATCATTACTGGTTTAAAAAAAGCTGTTGAGGGAAATTATGGATTCAAGATAACTATATTGAAATATGTTGGTAGCACTTTAAATATAAATTAGGATGCTGTCTCCACAGAATGGGGATAAACTATATCCAGTATTCTGCGTTATTTAATGCATTACTTTTTTTCCAGGTACACACTAAAACATTGTACAGGCACACTAAAGAATATAAAGTGTGAACTGGACACACACACTTTCAAAGATGTGTACCATAATCAGCATACATACATACATACATACATACATACATACATACATACATACATACATACATACATACATATTCAAGAACCCCAGGCTCTTTCTAGCTACCTGTTGCAATTATATTTGATGACAAACATAGCTGATGTGTGAAACAGCATATTCCAAGACTCCCAACACACTATAGTAGTTTTCAAATTACTGTAATTAATTTATAATTGATTACATGACTCCTCTCGCCTCCACGTTTCCTTATAGCATCTTAGTAAAAGTAAAAATTATACAAAAATGCTTTCAACATCTTTTTTTAAAATACTTACCAGCAATGTGAGTTGAACAGTAATTCCAACTGGATGGTAGTTCAATTGCTTTGTAGACTTTGTTTCTTCTGTGAGGTATTTTAAATTCTGGCCTGAGACACAGGTTATGACATTCACTTGCTGATGGCTGTTGCAGCTCTGATCCCAGATTGTTTATATATATAGCAGACTTGCCCCGGGAATTGCTTTGGAATTCCCATGATGTATCCGGCAGGATGTTACCAGAAATTGAGAATTTCCTTGTGGGCGGGAGAGGGGAACATCACATTTGTTTGCTGGTTTAGCTGTACTTGGGATTGCATTAATCTTGCTACACAAACAAAAATCATTTCTAATCTTTAAAAAGCACATCTTCAGCAACCAAAATATATCAATCCAAGGAGCTAAATATAGAAATAATTATTTTGTTACACATTCTTTCCCTGTCTTTGAAACTCAGACTTTCATATTTATTTATCAATAGGTTAAAGAAGCAAGGAAAATGTTGCATGTAGCTTGTCACTCTCAGACAGCTGGTATGTGCTGGGTTCTGTGTGGAGTTAGTTCTGCCCAAGGAAAGAGATAAACTTTCCTTCCTCAGTTGGGACATGAATATTGGTATTTGGTCATTATTTTTATACAATACGTTATTGAAGACAATTTAGAAAAAGGGAGAACCAGAAGATAAACTGTGGTAAATCTGAGGTAGCTTCATGAATTCTACTCAGAAACATTACTAGAGTCTTCTATTCAGGTTTGACCTTGCACACATTTGTGACTGTGTTTTTGCAGTTGCAGCCTCTCTGTGGACTGTCTCGGACAGACTGCAATACTGTCTTCTTAAGACCTTGGAACACTTGGCCCCTGCTTACACTGCGCTTTCTACTCTAAGGCCACCCAGGGTCTTGAGAACATGAAGAAGCTATTTTATTGTACTACAGCTCTCAAGACTTCCCCAACCAGTTAACACCAACACATTCATTTCTGTGTGTGAAATGAAGATTGTTTACCTGACTGCTTCTTAAGAGAATCAGGAGGTGAAGCCCCAGCTACAGACATGAGAACCTTACCATCACCAGAATCTCTCTTTTCTTTCATGCTGATGCTGGTCAAGGGAGATGGGTGAGGAGGCTGTGATAATTTATTATAATATCATGCTTCCACCATGTTGTCATGTAATCAAAATAGATGGCACAGAGCAAGTCAAATATATAATGAGATTTGGAATACAAAACTATGTGCCCAGATTCAGGATTTTCACCTTATTTTACCTATGTTGTTCTGACAGCATAAACATTGTCAAGGTGAGAAAATAGGGGTGCAGTCACATGTGCCAAAATAATCCCAGTTATATCAATTCTGCTGTTATTTCAATAGTTACATAAATTTCCATTCACACGACACACGGGTAACATTCATTCATTTGGCCAGCTAGTTAGTTTTTTTCCACCTCACCTGCATGGTCTTTAAAAAACGATACAATCCCTGCATCGCCTCGATCCTTATCATTTTGGTGCATGTAAACATTACTATTGATCTATTTAGTTTGTGAATGGGTTCGAATTTTGGACACCATGGCCACTGTTCTTGTACCTTTAATTTTTTAAAAAAAAAATGTTTAGCAATAAATTGCTTACTTCTTCTTACAACAATTTATCAATGTATCACTTAGCCAATGTCTTCCCTGTTGTAACTGTCATCCCTGCTTTTGTGTGGCATATAGTTAATTTTTTCCCTAGCTTTTCAACAATAGTTCAAGTCCGTTTTAATTCTATCCTACATTTATCTAGTGAAATACCCCACCAGATGGTGCATTGACTAACAATTGGAAATTACAGGAGAACAGCAATATATCACTTACTGTTTTTTTAAAAGAAAATTTTAGGGCACCAGGAACCCAGAAACGTGATGGAAAATGAATAGATTTATATGAGATGGCATGTATGGCCTACAGAATTGGTGCAAATATCAAGAAATGTACCGATTAAACTGACAACCATGTGAATAGGCTCAGCTGTGTGTGTATTTATGTATGTATATGTATATATGTATATATGTATGTATGTGTATATATGTATGTATGTGTGTATATGTGTGTGTGTGTGTGTGTTTGTGTGTGTATGTATATATGTATATATGTATATGTATATATATATGTGTGTGTGTGTGTGTATGTATATATGTATATGTATATATGTAAATATGTATATGTATATGTACCATATTTGCTGGTGTACAAGATGACTTTTTTGGCCCAAAAAACATGCCTCCAAGTGGGGCGGGTCGTCTTGTACGCCGGGTGCACTTCATTTGGGCCAGGAAGGAGCTGCTGCCACCGCCACTGCCGTTGAGTGAGTGACGCGGGGCCGCGCTGGCTGGAGAGGAAGGCAGGTGGGCGGGCAGTCCGGACGGAGGGAGGGAAGCAGAGCCGGCCATGCCTGAGTGGCCAGAGCCCACCACCCCGTGCCGCTGAGCCAGCTCGCCCGCAAGCCACCGGAGAGCTGCTTCTCCTTCCCCTCCTCCTCCTCTGTCACCCGCTTCCCTTTCCTTCTTGCCCGCCTCGCAGCTGAGCCAGCTCACCCGCTCGCCCATGCGCCACCGGAGAGTTGCTTCTCCTTCCCCTCCTCCTCCTCCTCCTCCTCCGCCGCCGCCCGCCCGCCCACTCGCTTCCCTTTCCTTCTCACCCTCCTCGTCGCCGGCCATGAACTTCCAGGGCGGGCCTGGGCTGAGCCCTGGGCAGCCGGCGCTGCAGCAGAGCCATTCACTCTATATTTTGAGTGGAAATGTTGGCGGGGTCGCCTAATACGCCCAGTCGCCTTGTACGCCGGCAAATACAGTATATGTATATATGTATGTATCTATATAGGGAAGAAAATGAAACAATTGAAATGGTGCATGTGATTGGGCCCTAAGAATACATACTGGAAATGTTTTCAGATGTGATGTCAAATCACAGAGGCAGAGAGGGGATGGCAACACATGTAAAGCATATCACCACAGCCCAAAACAGAACCTACCCACCACAATTAAAGATATAAAATTTCAAGAAATTTTCCAATTTTGAAAATTTCCTAATTTTCCCATTTTTCCCTAGGCTGTCCTGTCTATAGCCACAATACTGATACACTGCATAACAGGAAACCTAACTCCCTAAACCCCACACTGGAGCAGTCCATTGCATTGCTCCTTGCTGGTTTAGAAGCATTATGACAGTGCATATATGCAAGACATAAATCAGCATATAAAGTGTATGCTGTGGTTTTAAGCAGAAACATTCTACATAGCTAAAACATAATACCATCACAACCCTGATTTACTTTCCTCCATTGCAGTTTTCAAGTAAGGTTCCAAGGTCTGTTCACTTCATTCTCACACACCCTGTTTGGTAAAGAAGACTTCCCAAATGTAGACCCCTTGAAGTAACTGCTGAACAGAGAGTTAACCCTTACATGAATCCCATTACCTGATCGAGCTACAAAGATGCTGGTGAGATGGGTGGGAGGAGCAATGTGACATTTGAGGTGCTACTCCCGTCCCCATAGCAAACAACCCTTCGCAGCTCTACTTCAGTTGTTGAAATAGAAACAGCAAATAAAGAGGAGCAAAGAAAAGTAAATGGAAAAGGGGGGAATGTGGAAGGAAAAGGATCCAGGACAGAAAGAAGCAAGTGGGGAGAACAAAGAGGATGCTGTTCAGTTGGGGAAGGAAATGGAAATGGAATTTGACAGGAGAAAAGAGGATGGAGGAGCAGCCAGGAGAAGGCAAAGAGTATAGAAACAGCAGATGAAACTGCTGGGAGAGGAGGACGGATGGATGGGAGAGGAAATAAAAAGAAAGGAGGAACTGAGAAAGAAAGGAGGAAGTGGAGGAAGAGAAAGAGGAGGGAAACAGGAAGTCGGAGTATGGGGAGCAAAGCCATGGGATGGGCAGGAGAAGGGCAGAAGGGGTGGTCCTTCGCTGCTGCCCCCCCCCCCGAAGGTCACTGAAATTTGCTCAGTCTCTTACTCACGTGCAGCACTCTATCTACAGTGCTTGTCTCCAGCAGGTGGTTGCCTCTGCAGAAGGGGAGCCCCTCCTCGGTGATGGAGGCAATGGGGGGGGGGAGGGGGCCACTTCCCATGACTGTTTGGGTGAGAAAAAGAATGGCTGCCCTACCTTTGGCCCAGAAGGTGCCACATGGCTCTTAAAGGGGGAAGATGGCTTGATCATAAGTAGACATGGGCCTTTCTCCCCCTGAGCCAAACTATGCCCTCAACGAACTATATGTTTATATATCACTGTCCACATCTGGCCATTCTGCCTTTTATTTGCATTTAACTTTGGCTATTAACATTGATATTTCTGATTCATATTTAAGCCTTCTTTATTGTTTTCCTTAATATCCAATTTAAAAACATATTTCTGGATCTGAAATAAGATTTCAGACTGAATTTTCAATCATGCAGAGGCTCTGTAGCATGTTCTTTAGTGATTCGCTCTGTTCTGTTTTTTTCAGGAGATCATTTAAATGAAATATTAATATGAAATATTAATGAAACAGTGGCATTGGGACAAGGGTTTCTGATCCCATTCTCCATTTTCTGACATTGACATCGCTACCTCCTAGAGCTCATTCCCTTAGCTAGGACAAAATGCTTATAGGCAAGACTAACGACCTGTGGGGAAAAGGAAAGAGAAATGTTTAGTGGAAAAATAATGGCCAAAGGAATGCTTTTATATTTCAGCTACCTGCTGTTTTTCCTTAAAAGAAACTGCTGTGAGGATTTTACTCTGTATAAACAATATAGCATTTATGTTGGCCTTGAAGGCCAAAAAAATTAACTTGGCCAACACTGCAGGAGGTTTTCTAATTGCAACAACTTAATTAAGGAGACAAAGAATCCACAATTATAATTTCCCATTAGAACTGCATAATGTAGCTTCATACCTGTTGCTATGATTATATGAAGCAATTCCAACCCTAATTTGAAAATTAACTTGCAAACTGAAATGTATACTTTTGTCATGACAGGATATTTTACCCTTTGTGTCCTTTCCCTACTGAGCACTGCTTAAATTAAACCATAATTCCACTGAAGGGAGTTTTGTCTTACCGTAATTTCACTAGAATAAGGCATCATCTGTAGAATTCCAAGAAG